TCGTTTTTTTTAAATTCCACTTTCAGAAGTTTCGATTGCAAGTGTTCGAGAAATATTCTGTCAAAATTCAAACGCTATGGCTATATCGGTGCTATGTATTGGGAAAAAAAGAAAAAAAAAAGATACATAACGCATACACAATTTTTATTTTTACAAGAATAAAGAGAGTTTTGTTTTTGTCTTCCAAAAAATGTTCCTGCTTTGTCTTAGCTTGAACAAATTGCCATCGTAATGCGATTGTGTTGCAGATGTGTCAAACTGTTTTGAATCTTGCAATTGGCGGGTATTTCTTTATTTGTGGTTTGCTCCTTCTTTTCTACCAAAAATATATTATCGGCCTTATCTCTCCTCATTTTTCTTTGTATATTACTCTCAAGTAACACCTCTAATCTACCTCGACTTAATAGTGTTGCAAAGGCTGTAAACATTTACTATAACAAAATTAAAATCGTTTGAAGACGACAAATTGACTGCAAGTACCAGGTGCAGCACGAAACAATGTCCGTAATCGTCAGATCGTGCGAGCGGGGACTCGAGGCTCAGGGCCAAGGTTGTGTCCTTGGGAAAGGAACTGTACACGAATTTTCTTCAGTTCACTCAGGTATGAATGGATAAATGGCAACGCCTACTTATATCAGCTTATAAAGTAGGCCTTGGTACCCGGACATAGACTGCGAAAGATCTTTTCAGTAAGTTAACATTCTGGCATCTGTAAAATCTTGCTTGCACTGTATGCTTCCCAGGAAGTTGAGATTGCTTCAGAATGCCATCAGGTCTGCTGGGGTAATAATGTAGATTATAAAGCGTATAAAACTTGCTGTTGAGCAGGAATGTGCAGTATACAAATGCTACTTATGTTTATTATCAAATTTGGCGGTTAATAGCATCCTCAATGCGCGTTGTTCCCTTAGAGTGGATTCATGTTCCAACTGTCAGATCCACACTCACACGGGATAGGTGCGCCCGTTGACCCTCAGGCGGAGAAAGCGTGAGGTTTTTCGTGTTGTTTGTTTTATTTTAAGATTGGTTTTCGGTTTTTTTACCGTTCTTGATATTTTTTTCTTTGTTTTTTTCTGACTTTTAAAAAATTGAAATATTAATTTTTCTTTTCTTTTTTGTCTTTTCTTGTCAGATGAAAGTGTCTTAGTGGTTGTTTGACAGGTGCTCTGAGTTTGTTTGCTTTTTCTTTTTTTGCAAACATCTGCCGTCCTCGTCTCTACTTCTATTTTGGGTTTTTCCCTCTCTTGTAAGACCTAAAACTTTCGGCTCTTATGAAACTAATTATGTTGCAAGTGGTGTAAAACTCTTATTAAAACAGGAAGTGTCTTGAAAGAACCTAATACACAGCACAGTTTGAGGGCAATACAGAATCGACGAGAAAAAAGGGAAACATCCTCAGAGTCCAAGAGAAGTAGGGGAAAACCTCATCAGAATAAAAGAGAAATAAGGGAAAACTTTCTTAGAGTCAAAAAGGAATGTAGGAAGACCTCAGAATTAAAGAGAAATAAGGAAAGACTTTCTTAGAATGAAAGAGAATGAAAGAGAGAAAAGGGAATAATGTCTCTTCAGAATTAAAGAGAAATAAGGGAAGATCTTCTCCATCATGTGTTGATATTATGTGCATTGTGCCAGCTTTACTTTTCTTTTCAAATTCAGTTTTAATGAAAGTAATGTATTACAATTTAATTTTTATGTATACCTGGATGTCGTGTTTGTACGGTTCTGTTGAGCCAAGAAAAATGTCCGTCTTTAAAAATAAAAATATTATCTTATCTTAAGTAATGGGCATCCCAATCTGCAGTGCTAGGGCTGCTGTTCGTCGAATGTCCCCCAGGCCCCCGTAGAGTATAGTTGGTCTCTCTGCTTCGGGTTGGGCCAATATTACTTATATTATGTGTCTTGAGCATTAGGCAGACTTGCAGCTGCTGATGGTTTCCTGTTTGGTTATTGCCCATTCCGCACTGACACTGTTCTGAATTTCCGATTTTGAACTTAGTGTAGAGGTGGTGTTTTAGTCGAACACCATTGTGATGACGTGTAACACTACACGTTTTAC